AAAAAGAAGAAAGTGCTAAATGAAACAGCTTGTGTTTATTTGGATTGCTTGGTGACTTTGGGACTTTTGGAAATTATTATTTGAAAGATTAAAAACATTTGGGTTATTTAATTTTTTTTTACAATGGCATTATCTGTTGAAGAACTGAAAGTGGAATTTAAAAAGCTAAAAGAAGAGGAACAAGAAGGGACGGGCTCTTCTGGATCTGTTTTTCATTTCTTAGAAATGGCGATTTCTACCTATCAGGAAGTACAAGAACAAGAAGGTTGGGAGGAAGAAGAAGAAGCCATCTTTAATAAACAAACAACTTTAACTGGGGAAGAAAAGGGAAAGAGGGGAAAGAGAATGGAGAACTGAAGACTTAAAAGAACAACCCAAAAAGGGAAAAATAAGGTGAAAAATCGATACAATGTCAGAAAGCAACAGAAAAGAGGAATACAGAAGAGAATGGAGATTAAGAGGGTGGAGATCAAGAGACGGGGGGGGTGAGTAAAAAGGTTAGATTGGAGAAGAAGGGAAAAAGTGAAGAGAAGTTACAAAGGATTGAAACAGGATGTAAAGAAACAGGTTTTTTTCAGAGATAAAGGGTAAAAACATAATTAAAAAAGAGATTCTGCAAAAGTACATAAGACTGTATTGTTGTATCTGTATTTGAAATAAAGTTAGAAAACTGGAACATTATACGATTTAATAAAATATTAAAGGGAATGTGTAAAATGCTTAACATTTAATGATAGAGTTTAATTTGTTATGGATTATTGTTTTAATTATATTATAAACTTATTATTTTCTTATTTTAAATTGTAGTACATAGAATGTACTAAGCAGAATCAGAATGAAAACTATATATTATTTTAGGGGAAAGATATAAAAGCATCATACTTCAATCAGTGATTACAGGAGATATTTTGTGTTAAAGACAAAAGATAAATTGATAATTGAAAAAGAACGGACAAAATATGCAAGTATAATGATTTAAATCAAGATGAAATAAATAAAATAGAATTAAGAGAGTGAAAAGAGGGGAGAAGCTAAATAGAAAATATAGAATGGTAAATAAGATATGAAATGGTATATAAAGTGAGCATGAATTTGATTTATGTCTGTACAAAAAGATGTAACCCAGGACTAAGCCGCTTTCCAAAAAGAAGTTTTATGTTTTCATGTTTTGTGTTTTGATTGTGTATGTTTATTTATTGAAAATTAATAAAACTTTTATTAAAAAAAAAAGAATCTAGGGCAAATTGTTTATTTATTACCCTTGAGTTTTTTTTTAATATCTGGATATTTTTCTGCAGCAGCCATTTTGTGATAAACCAGCTAAGCTTGCTAGATGGATTTTACAGGTCACAAGAAGTAGACATTCTATTTTATTAAAGTAATAAAACCAATTTTAACACTTTTCATGTGTTAATTACAATCCAAATTAGAAGTATTTTCTAAGTTTCAAAATGTAAAGCAACTGAACATAAATCTCATATTTTTTTTATTAACTAACATTGCTAATGCTCTAGGGAAAGGCCATCACATCTTAAAATGAATTACTGGAATGAAATTAGCTTTAAGAATGGAAGGATCCTGTAAAAGCAAGGACATCATGATAGGGTAGGTCATTCTTTGTAGGCTTCTGGAATGTAAAACCTAATGAATGCATGTTATTTTTCTTAAGATCACAAAAAAATTATTTGATATCTCAACTCTGAAAAAAGAAGTAAGGAAAATGCTGTTGTCATAAAAATAATGCATTTTTGCAACTAAGACTTTGTGGAATTTAGGAAACAAAACTATAGGCAAGATTTGTGGTGGTCCTATCATATTAATGAAATCTGACATGTGCACCTTTTAATGGCATAAAAAAATCAGTTCCAGAAATATATCTCCTGTTGATTTACTTGGAGGAAATACATATTTAAAAGAACAGCATCATTTCTTTGATAAAGGAGAAGGCACCACATATTTCAATTCCCAGTAATGACACTCTAGCGGTATAAATATATCACACATAGGCATCTGGTTTTATATTGCTCAGACATATAATTCACTAGAATTAATTTTAAAGTAATTAAAATTTGCACCCAAAGGAAACATTTAGAAAAACAAACTGTCTTGAGAGGATAACTGGGAACTTAAACAATAGCTAATGGTTCTTTGCTCAGCATCCTTACAGTCATGTTGCTGTCAGCGTTCCAAGTAACAACCTCCAAATTAAAAGACTCCAAGACTGTCATCTTCTCAAAGATCCATTTTATTAGAGATTTTTTATTAGAGATTTTATTGGCACATCTGAGGAAAACCTAAATCTGAGATTTCCAGGTTTTCCTTAGCCCAAAGATAATCCAAAATCCAACCCAATAGTTCATCACAGTCCAGTCATTACTTCATTCCAACCAGAGACTATCCCCAGACACTCCCCTCCACGTGCAGAGTAACATGTCCTTGACTCTCTGAAAAAGGAATGTTGTGGCTAATTTTCCACTGCTCCTTGAAGTCCCCCTTCCAATTTCCTAGGCACTGAATGTGGCAGCTCAGAAGCCTCAAAGAAAAATGGTTTCCCAGCTGACAGTTGCTTTAACTTGCCAAACAACAATATCCCAACTGCAATTCCCATGTGGCTGCAGTTGGATACCTGGATGAAGTACTTGACACTGTTACGCCTGTGAAAGACAGAAGGGACCATGATAGATTTGCTGCAATAATTTTCCCTGTCCCCAAATTTTGCTTTAGATTGTGTCTTATCTTACCTGTATAACTTTGTGTGTGGGAGAAGAGGTTACCTCGCAGAGGAAGAAGCCTTCCTCACATGCGTCTGCTATGACATCGGCAGGATGAAGAAACCTGCCTGGAACAATGATCCCATAGAGGACTAAGTAGACTAAGCACCCTAGCAACTGCTGTTGAAATTGCAGGGTTTTTTCTTATAAACGCTTACAATATCACGTAACATGAGTCCTTTACCTTTTGGAAGAAATCTCTGTTGGCAGTAGGCCATTTTAGTCACAGCTTTGCTTCTCAGTGTTTAAATCAGTGACTAAGCTGAGAATCTCAGTCCAGATTCTTGTGAGCACTTTGGCCATATCTGGATGTTTAGAGCAGAACAAACATGAAACCAACATGAAATTCCATTACAATATCCATGCATATAAATAATCCCCAAGGAATGAGGGCTGGATATGCAGTCAAAGTATGAGCCATAATCCATCATTCAAGTGGTGCCATTCTGTCTTCAGACTCTCCTTAGCACGAAAACCTCCCAAACACTGACATTCTCTGGCTACTGGCTATTGCTAATTTTACTTTCTCTCTGTCTTTGTTTCCTGTCCACATACTTTTTTTCCCCAAAAGGCAAAGGGCTCATGGCACATCATATTCCATGCATTTACATGAAAGAACCCTGCAATCACAACAGCAGTTGCCAGTGTGCTTCTGCTTAATCCTCTATAGGGTCACTTTCCTCTATGGAGTCACTTTCCAGGTAGGCTTCGTCATCCTGCTGATATCATAGCAGACAATGATAGGACATAGAACTGGAACCCTGTAAAGCCTTTACAGCTTTATTGATGGAGCAATTCCTACTATATGTACTCTTCCAGGGTGCACTCTCAGGGAAGTTGGTATTCCCATATGTCTTTATCTTTCAAGATCAACTTTTCTTGAGCTGCAATAGGCTTTTGCCATGTATGTCATTGTTAATAATGGATGATGGATAGGTTGCTTCTGGAATTTGGTCAGGATGATGAGAAAGCTTGATGAATCTAGGAACTTTTTGTGATTGTGCCCTAAAAAGCAAGCAGGCTGTTTCGTCTGTTTTGTCCTCGTGTGGACTTTTCTCTCTTTATGGATCTCTAAACTTTATCCCAGAAGGGCAATGTGTTTTCCTTGCAGGCCTCCTCCCTTTTGTATCCTGTGCTCCAAATGAATGGCTGGGAACAAGAACAAATAAAGGTAGCCCTTGATCATACCTGAGCCGAAAATTTCTGTTCCTAGCGAAACACATTGCCCTCCTGGGATAAAAGTTAGAGACCTATTCAGAGAGAAAAGTCCACACTAATGAGGACAAAACAGACTAAAGCAGAGAGATGGACAGTGACTTCAGCTTCCTCCATCATCTGTGAAGTATGAATAGGGTCAGGGAAGCAAGAGATGTGATAATGGAAAGTGGGAAATGAGAAACAGAAGTTCTTAAGTGAATTTTTGCCCCATTTTATGACCTTTCTTGCCACAGTTGTTAACTGAATCACTACAGTTGTTAATTTAGTAACATGGTTGTTAAGTGAATATGGCTTCTTCGTTGATTTTGCTTGTCGGAAGGCCACCAAAGTTGATCACATGATCCAGGATAGTGCAACCATCATAAATATGAATCAACAGCCAAGAGTCTGAATTTTGATCATCTGACTATGGGGATGCTGCAACAGTAGTAAGTGTGAAAAACAGTCATAAGCCAGTGCTGTAGTAACTACAAACAGTCAATAAACAAACTATTGTAATTCAAGGACTACGTGCATCCAAGGCCTGGCAAATATGCTGTTCTATGTTGGATGTGCTGATCCAAGAGGGTTCATTGGCGTTGTATGTTTGCATGTGGTGATCCAAGAGGGTTCATTGGTAGTGTATCCCCATTATTGTTAACTCCCTGCAACTATTGGAAGTATGTGACTACCATTCTCATTGACTTCATCCTCATGGATGGGTTTTTTTCAGCATTGGTTTTGTATATTCCAAAATTTCTGTCCCATCCCAGTTGGATCACAGTTAAGTATAACAGGTGGCTGACTCCTAAGTTCAAGCATTCCATTGCAGATTTCCCCAGCTTGTTGTTATCCAATATTTTGAACTGTTGTCTTTAACCAGATTTGCAAGCTCTCAAAATGCTATTTGCAAACATAAATGCAAAACAAAAGAAGAACAGTCTATGTAGGAAAATATTGACTTATTATTGAATGAACGAATGAATGAAGGAGTATATTTTTAACGCTTGCTTTTCTTCTTGTTCTATTTAGCCATGAAGAGGATTGCCAGATTGATTTTCCCACTCATTTTTTTGCTGATCTGTGAGGTAAATGGACAGAGGCGCAAACCTCCCAAACCTCCCAAGAAACGTCCGACTCCTTCACTCCCTGAGCCAGTTGAACCGACCGAGTTCCCTCCACCTCTTCCCCCAGGACCACCCTCAGTTTTTCCAGATTGTCCCCGAGAATGCTTCTGTCCCCCAGATTTTCCTTCAGCCATTTACTGTGACAGCCGCAACCTGAGAAAAGTCCCACTCATCCCACCCAGGGCCCAGTATGTGTACCTACAAAACAATTTCATCGATAAGATCTCTGAAGAATCTTTCAAGAATGCGACAGGGCTGCGGTGGATCAGTTTGGACAACAACCGCATTGATTCAGTGGGATCACAAGTACTACAAAAGTTGGATAATCTTGTCTTTCTGTACATGGAAAAAAACTTCCTTAAGGAAGTGCCCAACAACTTGCCTCCCAATCTTGAACAACTTAGGCTGAGCAGAAACCGTATCTCCAAAATCCCTGAAAATGTATTCAGCAAGTTAGATCAACTCCTCCTTTTAGATCTTCATCATAATCAACTGGATAATGGAGACTTCAAAAAGAACACCTTCAAGGGGCTCAAGAACCTCATGCAACTCAACCTGGCTCATAACCGGCTAAGCAAGATGCCTCCTGGGGTTCCCAAAGCCATTCACCAGCTCTTTCTTGATGAGAATCAAATTGATAATATCCCCAACAATTACTTCAAAGATTTCTCCAATTTGGCCTTCATCAGGCTTAACTATAATAAACTGTCTGACAAAGGATTGCCTATCGACACTTTCAACATCACCAATTTGCTGGTTTTGCATTTGGCATACAACAACCTCACCAGCATCCCCTATATCAGCCCCAAGTTGGAGCACCTCTACATGAATGACAACTCAATTCAAAGTGAGTTGGCACAAGTCTGTAATTGGTTAGATCTACAAGAGATCCTGTTTGTGGGGGGAAAGGGGAGTGGGAAGAGGTGAATTATCTCATGACTCAACATTCATTTTAAAAACTCTAAAATGACTTACTTCTGTTGATGCTTTCAAGGGAACCTTAGTAAGAAATCTTATTCTCCCTCATTGTTCCTAACTCCATGGGATTCCACGAAATTATAAATTCCATCTTGCCCAAAGCTGTAACTTTATGACTGATGATTGAACAGAACAGGGTGGGTGGCAGAGTAGAGAGGAGTCAGACTGAGAGCAAATTGTTCTTTTCCATGCAAATTGTACTATTGCCATATAAAGAAACATTTAGATCTTTCCATATAACAAAAATGGAAATTATTTTTATGTTTCTTTGATATAGGAAGAAAGAGAAAGGGAGGGGGAAAAGTCAGCATCCATCCACTTACTTTTCTGCGGCTTCTCTCAATCTATAGCTAATAGATTTTGGGTTTAGGACTGATTTATTTTCCCAAGACTTTTCTCTTTGCTGAGAAATCATTGCAAATCAAAGCAATTTTAATTTTTTTGCATACTATTTTTATGTTAATTTAAATTAATGAGTGACTGTGTAAAGGAGTACGAAGAAAAAATATCAATGAGTTTTCACATTTTGTGTCTTTAAATGTGATTTTTTAAAATCAACGTATATTTCGCATACTATTGGGTAAAGCCTTAATAATTTAATAGATTAGTTTGTATCCTTTAGAATACATCAACATATCTGTAGAAAAATAAAACATTTCTTCTTCCTGTTCCCAGGAGTATGTTCAGCAGGAGTTCCCAACATCTGTTGCCTAATTGAAAACATCTGCATTTAAGAAATGCAGAATTCCTTCCAAAATGTCTTAACAAGGAAGTAATAAAGAATATAATGAGCTGCTATAGTTTAAACCAACCCCAAAAGCTTGGGGTTGGTTTTTCTTTCAAGTTAAATTTTTGGCAATTCTGTAGGTCAATAAAATGTCCTTATAAGATGGACCTTATATAGGAAGGACCTGAATCTTATTTCAAACCCAGAATTTCAGTAGACAATCATAACACTCTTTCACATCTTAAATTAAAAGAACTGAAACTTGTTTTTTAAAGTTGTGCATACATTTCCGAGCATTAGCCTGAACAGTAAGGATAAAATATTTTCTAGTAGCAGATACTAATGTTTTTAATTTTACTTTTCATAATACTGCTTTAAGATACAAAAAGGGAGGAAAGATTAGAAAAATACAAAAGATAAATAACAGAAACAAAAGAAACAAGGTAAAAAATATAACAGAATAACGGAATCAGTAAGTTCAGAGAGAGGGGACAGTTACTACTGTCATTCCCAGCCCAGCCATTGTGTTGGAAACAGTCCTCAGAAATTCTGTTTTGATCCTGATGTTAAACTTGTATCCATTCATTATTTTGAGCCGTGGTGGCACAGTGATTAGAATGCAGTACTGCAGGCTACTTCTGCTGGCTGCCGACTGCAGCAGTCTGGTAGTTCAAAGTCTCACTAGCTCAAGATTGTCTCAGCCTTCCATCCTTCTGAGATCAATAAAATGAGGATCCAGCTTGTACAGGGCAATATGCTGACACTGTAAACCAGGGGTATAAAACTTAATTTCATTGAGGGCCCCATCAGAGCTGTAGTTGACCCTGGAGGGGGGGCAGATGGGTGTGGCCAACTGGGTGGGTGTGGTCAACTTGATGCCACTCCCCAAACTCCCCAAACCCAAACATGTTTTCTCTTTGCATTGGGTAGACTGGGCCAAAGACACTGGCCTGATTGTTCCTCTTTGCACTGGGTAGACCCAGATGGCCCCTTGGATCAGATGCAGCCACATCACAGGCCAGATGCAGCCCACGGGCCTTGAGTTTAACATCCCTGCTGTAAACCATTTAGAAAGGGCTGCAAGAAAACTGTAAATCAATAAATAATAGCTATTGCTATTTTGTGCAGAGTTTGTCCTGTTTGTTCTATGTAGACTCCAGAGGGGCAATGTTGGCAGATGATGGTATAGATTTCATTAGAGGAAGAACATGTAATGGTACCTTTAATCATATGTATGAGGTTGCTGGAATCTATATGGTACTGCTGGTGTAAAATAGACAACTGGGCTTATTACATAGTCTTATTTGCTTGTTAACATAATCTTCTTATTGTTTTTTTATTGCATGTGAGAATCTGCTTCATATTGGGTGGTTATCTATATGTGGATATGGGTTCTGCTACTCTGTCTGAGAAAGTGCAATGTCATTGCCCAAAATGGCCTGTAGTTTATTAATAATGTGCTTGAGTGGGGCTTTTCAATGGTCTAATATAGCAATAGCAATAACACTTACACTTATATACCACTTCATAGTGCTTTACAGCCCTCTCTAAGCAATTTACAAAGTCAGCATATGCCCCCAGCATGATCCTCATTTTACCCAACTTGGAAGGATGGAAGGCTGAGTCATCCTTGAGCCTGGTAGGATTTGAACTGCCAAATTGCAGGCAACCGACAGTCAGCAGAGTAGCCTGCAGTATCGCACTCTAATCATTGCGCCATCGAGTGGTTAGATGATCAGTACAGCATAATCTTGTATTTGTATAAAGTAATATCCTGCAAGTTTATTGCACTTCAACTCCATAACACTGTACTGGTTAGAAGATTATATAATTTACCATGTTTAATAAGCATGATGTGGAAGGCTTAGAAGTCAGAGCTATCCAGAGAAGGAAACTCCAGATCCAGTTTTTGACCCTCCCATTTGCTCTTAGATTTGCCCCACATTGCAACCAGTCAACAAAAAGTACTTGATTTATTCCAAGATGATTATACAAAAGGCACAATAACTTGGTTTCTATAAGGAGAGCTTAGTACAAATTTCGGAGTTATCAATATCATTCACAATTAATAAATTGTATTTATAAATTCTGAATATGTAGATGTAGATCTCATTATAACAACATTCTAATAATGAAATATGAATCAAATGCACACCTGAAGACAAGCATTCAGGTAAGTATATTATATAACAAACATACTTGTTAGAAAAGCAGTCCATAAATGTTTTGTGTTTTAGGCTGTATTGCATAGATATGAAGAAATATGATGCTACTAACTTTTCTTTCCATCTTCATTCACTCTGTGGAGTTCTGCAACAGGGAACCTTTATATTCCTGAAATTTCAGTGTACAATTTAGAATTCTAAAATATGTAGGAATCCTTCATGGAAACAAAAGGCTTTGTATTACAGTTTTCCATCAATGTGTGTGTAGAAGGAAGGGAAGGGATAATAAAAGTTAGAGCAAAGAAAGTGCATGTACTAGCTTGTTCATCCCTGGTCTTCACTGCACATTTCTAATATCTTAAAGCAGAACAAAAAACAAACGAACTATAACTTGTAAAGTTATAGAGAAGATTAAAATCCTAACTATTATAAAACATTGCAGGTTTTCTAAGGAGCTTTAGAATGTTGTTTTTATACTTCTATTTTACACTAACTGTTATTTGCTTTTGTAGATACTCAGTATTTAGGAGTGATTTATATAGACCTTTTATTAAATGAATGTGGGGGGAAAAAGCATGGGAATGAAAAACTGAATAGAAAAGGCTTCGTTTACTGCAGGAAAGGGAAGTTTCCTCCATGCTTTCAAACAGAGGAGTAGAATTATAAATATCTTTAAGCTGGAAGGGACTATTGCAATAATACAATATTGTATTTGAATAACTCTGTCAATAATTAGTTGATGAATAATAAATGCTGAAAGAACAGATTGGAATATGAAACTGATGATCTCTACAACTTCCCTAACCCTAGCTTATTACTTACCTGTGGTTTTTTTTTTCTTTTTTCTTTTGCCTTCAGAAATCAATGGGACTCAGATATGCCCCACTTCTCTGGTCTCTCTTAATGCAGCGTCTTCAGATCTTGAAAATGTGCCACGTCTTCGCTACCTGCGCCTTGACGGCAACCTACTGAAGCCACCCATCCCTTTGGACCTGATGCTGTGTTTCCGACTCTTGCAGTCGGTTATATATTAAGCCTTGCAGCAATTGCCACTACTTGGAACTTTGGCTTTGCACAGTGACTTGATTCCAGTCTATGTTAGACAAGGAGAATATACCTTAGCATCTCTACCCAGGCTTTTCCTGCTCCACTCTGCTTCATTCTTCTTTGGCTGCTGGAAGCTCTGTGCTTTGTGCAGCTCTCTTTTATACAGCATTTTATGGATGCTTTTTGCCCCTCAAATGTTGCAAGGAGTCTTCTGAGATAGGTGCAGCCTTCACAGAAGATCATGGCAATATTACAATATTGATTTCTGCTATATTGCCCTTTATCTATATACTAGAGTGAGAGAGAGAGAGAGAAGGAAGCATGCCTAAATGTATTTAGCATGCAGCATTTCTTTTACTGCCTTGCTGTCTAGAGCTTCGCAAAGCATTACTGGCTTTCCGACATCACCAAGCATACAAAATAACTTAGATTTGTTATCACTGAAACAAGCAATATAACTTCATTTAGATGGATACAACGTTAACGTGCCATTGTCTAATGATGCTGAATTAATAGGTGAGGGATAGTCAGATTAACAGGTATAATAAATAGCTTTAGCAAGTGTGACCAAATACACAGTGTACTGTACATAGCAGGTTGCATACTGTGCAGGCGAGGCAGTATGGAGAAGATGAAATGAAGAATAATGGAGAATTTTCTTCCTGTTTGTGCTCTTTGGGAATTAAACTGCTTTGCACTGTGGAATGTAATGAGCAGCTAAATACAGCACGACCTTCAGGACTGGTGATGACATGCTTAGCAGCAATAAGTTAGACGACCTCCTCATCTTCATAAATTTACTCCACATAGGTTGGCTGAAACTCAAATGCAGTGCTAAAGAGGAATAAAGCAAATCCAGCCCTAGACAGAAATTGCCACCCAATAGGGTGACATACTTGAACAGGACAAATCCATCATTATCATGATGATTTCAAGATTATCTTCACATCTGATTCCTCCTCCCCAAGTTGCACCTATGGATTATGTCATTAATCAATGGAGCAATCTGTACTCCTTGAGGACCCAGGGCTTTGCTAGCTTTCTATGCATGGTAATCAGCAGCCTTAGCAACAGTTATCCAGGCATAATGAAGGAAATTAATCCTCCCCCTTTGTTACACTAGAAATGTCGCTGCCCTCCTGATAAAGTCATACAAGTGGAGGATCAATAAATAAATGTTAAATTGTACTTGAAAAATATTTTAGCAGTGGCTGGAACCACAGTACCTATGGTTGATATGATATCCATAATACCAAAACATGGCATACATATTTAAAACCTCATCCACATTTCTAACACAGAATCTTGCAAGATCAGAGCATTCATGCCTTTAGTCATTTTTTATTTTTATTTTTTTTAAACTGGGGATATTGTGCCAAATCTTATGATGGTACTCCAAAATGTTGTTGATCTGTGAGCTCTAACAGTGTGCAAATGTAAGTAAATGCAAATAATCAAGTATTAGCAGACTTACCGTATGGTGTACAGGGACAAAAATCTCTGTTATGGGAAAGCCAGAAGGAGCTATTTAACATGGTCTTCCCATTTCTTGTGCTATTCTTTGTTTGTGTTATATTTTGAATATAGAAAGAATAAAGCTGTTCAGTAACAGGCAATGAAGTACAAAGTAAGTAATCCTTTTTTTAAAAAGCACTTGCAGAGCACTAATTCAGAGACACACCCAAACAATGTGAGCTCTTTTTGGGTACTCTGGATGAAATTATGAAAAACATACAGATCACATTAAAGAAAATGTTTCTGCTTAAACTTTTTATGAAAGCTCATCTGGGAACAAAGCCTTCAGACTCACTGAGAAAATGTCTCAGTGAAAGTACCACCCTGTACAAAAAACAAAATACATGTTTTTTTTTAAAGCACAATATGAATTTTTACTGAATCAGCAAAATCAAAGACAAGCCAAAATCAAAGCTACAAGAATGATAGTCACATGATCATCCATTTACCAGATGAATTTTGTATCATACAGCAATCACTATGTTATTTACCCTCCCAGTTGGGCCCAAGGGGATTTCTACAAATAAATACGATGCTAGAATGTAATGTAGTTTAAGCCAGTGCCTTTCAAGTTGTTTTTAAAACATTGCTTTAAAACAGATCAGCTTCCTAATATTTTACAGCAACCTTTTATTTTTCAGAAGTAAGAATGGACAGAGAGCACCGGTATTGCTAAAGAAGGTCTCTGAACACCTTTGTGGCCACAGGTAGCCATTCCTTTTCCTAATTTTATTATCCATTTATTTTCCATTTTCCCATTAGATCAGTTTGTCTGTTTTGAAATCAACCGAGTCCTCTCAGAGTCTCCAAATGTCAACTGTCCCTTCCTCAGGGGAACATTACACTTTGCATTACCCTTTGCAACATTTTACAAATTAAAGAGGCTTCACAACTGAGATTGTTATTATTCTTATGGTTGATCACAGAGTCAGCCAGATGTTTAGACTGGATTTGGCTTTTTTATCCATCTTCCCATATTGTTTGATGGTGTTAAAGGTATCTTCGCAGGATGTAAGCTTTTCCAGGTAAAGCTGCCTTTTGCAATTGACTGATGGGGATTTTTTATCACTATTAATGGTGTTCAAGCGATGCTCCATAGGTTTTCGAATTGCATCCAAGGAACCTATTATTATGGGTACTATCTTTGCTTTCTTTTGGCATAGTCATTCTATTTCAATTTGCAAGTCTTTGTATTTTATTATTTTCTCCTGCTTTTCTATGTTGCCAATCTTAGGTGCTTCAATATCCACTATCCTGATTTTTATTTTTCTTAATGACAATTCTTTAGCAAAACTGTCATTAAATGGACTGTGTGGCCAGTATTCGTCTGTTGGAATTCTAAAGTCTCAGAGCATTTTAATCTTTTTAATGTACTGGCCATGTAATATGTTGTTTTCCCATGCCTCTTTTCTGTTCTTCATTTGGGTTTCTTGTAGACCAGTTTGGTCCAGTATGCAATAAGATTTTCTGGTATATTAGCTTCGCAGCATTTTCTTTACTGTCCTTCAGATATTCTTCCAATGCCATTTTTTCTTATTCTACATCTGATGTATGTACAACATTCCATGTCCACCTATTTTTCTTGGTAAGTAGAGTTTGTCAATGTCACCCCGAGGGTGAAGAGCATGATTCATTGTCATTATTTTCCTAGCCTTCCTATCCAGAGCTTTTAGCCCTGCTTAACTCTAATCCATTATTCCATTTGTGTATCTAAGGACTGGAATTGCCTAGATGTTAATTATTTTGATGGTATTTCCTTCACTGAGTTTGGATACATCCATGTAAAGGAGGTGGGATAGCCTGGCAAATGTTTTTAATGTTTGATAGCAATGGCCTGAGTTATTCAGTATCGTTGACAGAGGAATCAGTGCATTGACAAACAGTAGTGCTTATAGTAAGTCTCCTTGAAGGATTCCTCTCTTGACATTAACCTGTCTCAATCTGTCACAATTGACCAGCAACTCTGTCTTCCATTGCACCATTGATCTTTGCACAAAGCTTCTGAGATTTCTACTGATACCTGTTATTTCTAGGCATTTGATTATCCAATCATGTGGCAGGATAAAATGCTTCTTGTAATTAATTCACACTACATTGAAGCTGATTATCCTTCTTTTGCAGTTTTCTAGAATCTTGCCAATTAGGAGCTGATCTTTTGTTCCTCTGCTGTTTCCTTTCTGTTTAGGTGGAAAGAGCTTGTTTTCAGTCAGATGTTATCAGACTGCATCAGATACCATACCAGTTAGTAATTTGAAAGTTGTTGGTAAGCAGTTAATTGGCCTGTAGTTTCCTGGTCTTACCCCTTTTGCTGGATCGTTATCAGATAGGTTTTCTAGATGTTAACTAATCTTCAATTTCACCTTCTTGCAGTATGTTGTGTCATTATTTTTCTACAGCAATTCTTATGCATATATAGTATAAATCCTTATCTTGATGGCAAATTTTATGCAATGTTAGATGCACTTTTTATATTTAACATTTGTATATTTTAAAATACAAATAGTAGATGCTGGAAGTTGGTCATTATGAGATACAGTATGGCAAGCAGGCAATAAAAGTCTGCCTGTCCTCACTCATCCTGTCCTTGTAAAAATGACTTATTGGAGGATACCTTCTAAGAGAAAATTTCCTGTAGGCACTAAGGAGTTTTGGTTGCCTTTTAAAAAATACAGAGAATAAGTGTGAAAAAATAGATAATATCAAACCCTTCATCAGGTCTGCAAGATACATTTTTATTTCTCTTGTATTATGCTAAAAAAGAATTAAAGTTGGGAAGGTGCAGTACAGTCAAGGTAATAGAATAAGAATCCCTAGGTTATCCAGGCTCAATAAGCAAATCACCAGATCCAATGTCTACATGGAAGGTTACATGCTTTTATATTTAAACTGTTGCGCTACCTGATCTGGGCTGCAAACAATTGGATAACTATTAAGATAGCAGTGAAAAAAATTCAGTTAGGAGGGGAAGGGGAGTTGTATGCAGGGCATCCCAACTGTATTTTGAGACATCCTATATCATTACTGTTATCTAGTGGTCTCCTGGACTTTTATAGGTCAGATTTGTATCCCTTTGTTAAGCCCATTTAAGGGCTGACACAGTCCATGATTCTGACATCGCAGTCAAAACAGACTTATTTCAAGATGCTTATGTTCTAGCTCCTTTCCCCTTCCCTCTCCTTTCTTGCTTCAAAAAAGACAAATTATCCAATATCATGAAAGCTTCTCCTTTCCTGGAACACTGTCTTTCTGTGTCATTACATTAAAGGCATTAAATCTCTCACTTGTAAGTTCATCCTATGTCTGTAACCCACAACAGTGTTTCTATTGTGTATTTTCTTCATAAAAAGGTAGGGTTAAATGTGTGTGTGTGTGTGTGTGTGTGTGTCTGTGTCTGTGTCTGTGTCTGTGTCTATGTGTGCATACTTTAAGCAAAGTGTATTGTTTTTCTTTCTATGAAAGGATTCATCGACTCCAGAACTTTTTCCATATAGGTAATTCTCGATTTATGACCACAATTGAGCCCAAAATTTTCTGTTGATAAGTAAGACATTTGTTAAGTCAGTTTTAGCCCATTTTATGACCTTTCTTGCCACATTTGTTAAGTGAATCACTGCAGATGTTAGGTTAATAACTTGTTTCTTAAGTGAATCTGGCTTCCCCAATGACTTTGCTTGTCAGAAAGTCACAAAAGGTGCACATGTGACCCTGGGATACTGCAACCATCATAAATATGAGTCATTAGTCAAGTGTCTGAATTTTGATCATGGAGTGCTGCAATGGTGGTAAGTGTGAAAAGCAGTCATAAATCACTTTTTTCACTTTGTTGTAATGTTGGACAGTCACTAAACAAATTGTTGTAAGTCAAAGCTCATCTGTACTCAAACAAACAAGCAAAGGGCAAACAGCAAGATCAGTAATTGACTACTCCCGTCTTTCCCTATCCAGTAAGCCTTTCCCACTAAAATAGAATTCAAAGTTGTAAATGATAAAACAACAATGAGCAACAATAGACATCTCAAAAGGAATTATTGTATTGTCAGTTGTGAAGACAGAACTGGAGTCAGCACCATTCTGTAACAAGACTAATCAATATTACCAGTTGCTCCTTCCCTCTTTAATCCTCACCCCTCCACCAGGCCTTCTCAGAAGAACACTAAATCAGTAATAGGTCGACTGATACACTGCAAGTATAGAGATTCTGTGATGTGTTAGGCAAATTAGCAGGTGGATACGTATAACAGTCCAAGCATGTACAATTGTGCCCAACCCTGGCTTCCTTAGGTTAAGCCATTGTGGGAAGAGAAAAAAGCCATGAAAATTCACCAATCCTTTCCTTGACTTGATCCACATTAAAGCACAGAGATCGTACCAGTCACTGGTTTTATTACCATGGCAGAATGGAGTTCAGCAATTAAAGAAGCAAATTTTATGCTTTTCTAGTGGTAGCACTAGAACATGGCTGGTTAGTTTGCTCTCAGTAATTATAGTATAATGAGAAAAGTTTGCAATCTTTTTTTCAAGAGATTTTATTAATCCCTCATTTTAGGCATACTTACACAGTCTATTTGCATGCCAGTCCGTATGTCCATGCAATTTTACTTAGACATTCATTCATTCATTCATTCATTTATTACTTGGGTGCAATGGCTTGGTGATTAAAGATGCTAAGCTTGTCAGCTGGAAAGATTACAGCCCAAGTTTGAGACTCAAGCATCACACGACAGGTTGAACTCCTGTTCTTTGCTCCAGCTCCTTCCAACCTAGCAGTTTGAAAGCCTGCAAATGAGAGTAGATAAATAAGTACCACTTCGGTGTTTCATTTGCCCTGGCATATAGTCATGTTGGCCACATGACCATACAAATGTCTTCAGGCAATACTGACTCTCTCAGCTAAGAAATAGAGATGAGTACCGCCCCTTAGACTCAAACATGAATGTACAATTTTTTTTTTTACCTTTTATTAGTTAGGCTTTAATGATACTTCAGGTAAAATTTCTCTGGGGTGAGTGGGCATACAGTTCCACTGCACAGCAGTAAGACTGAAACCAGAGTTACAACCACACAGCAGATAATCCAAACTCAGATTTCAGCAGTGTTTCCATCGTATATTCCACTTAACATTACTTCCTTGGGAGTACAGTTCAAGATTCCATTCCTTCCCCCAACATTTCCTGGTAGGCTAAAATTAAGTGGCTTAACTTATTTTTGGAGGTAGGAATTTGCAGAGGAAGGTGTTTCCACTGAGAAGACTTGACTTTGAATGCATTACATCAACATTCCTTCCCAATAAGGACTTGTAGCAATATAAACAGAGGTGGTATTCAGCAGGTTCTGACCAGTTCCGAAGAACTGGTAGCAGAAATTTTGAGTAGTTCAGAGAACCGGCAAATACCACCTCTGACTGGTCCCGCCCCCATCTATTCTCTCTGTCCCCATCTATTCTCTCTGTCCCAAGTCCCAGCTGATTGGCTGGGTCTTCTTTTGTTGCCTTGCACAGGAGAACAGAGCTGGAAAGCAGGTTAGTGGGGTGGGGACGGAATGGGATTTTGCAGTATCCTTCCCCTGGAGTGGGGAGGGAATAGGGATTTTACAATATCCTGCCACGCCCACCAAGCCACACCCACAGAACCGGTAGTAAAAAAATTTGAATCCCACCACTGAATATAAAGCTTCCTGCATTCAACATGACTTTCTATTTGAACATTGACAACAGTTCTTCTGTGAATATTGTGTAGGTGTTCCTTATTTTGTGTCTATACATTTGACTACTTTTAAAGATAACACAATATGGTGTATAGGTACTCAAAAATACATATTAATGTTCCACAAAGATATCATACAATATGAAATCCATTAAAAACAATGATCACTAAAAATTAAATTAAAATGTTAAAACATGATCACTAGTAAAAATTAAATGATGCTATGACAGAAACATGATTTTATTTTGACTTTGGAATGACCCTCAATTTGCATGCTCTATTTACTTGGCTGGGAAAGGGAATTCCGAAAGTGAGGGCCAAATGTGAGAAGGCCTTTCCTCCTCCCCTCCTCAAAGGCCAAAGCATCTGCTCAGCCAGCTGGGCAGGGTTAACTAGCCAAATTGTACAGAATGTCCAAATGTTAAAGTAAAAACCAAAATCTTGATTTCTACTTGAAACATGCAATAAGGTATATACATTTTTGTGAGACTGTGTGCAAATGTTGAAATGTGTTTGCTTGCACTATTGGACATACATGATTCATCATATGACCATATATGAATTTGCATGTGTACAAACACATCTAAATTTGTGTAAATGACATGTCTGTTGATGGAAATTTGTGGATAATAATTATTTTTAACCCTAAATCCAAGAACAGATGGAAGGAGTACTTTAGCAAACACATTACAAATGCAATCCTATTATGGCTGCTATCCAAGCACCAGCGTCTTCTGGATAGAACAGATTTTTCTTTTTAAAAAAAGTTTTAAAGAGAGCATAAAAAATAGCCAACTAATGCAAAATGGATAGAGCAAAGGATTACAGAATTGTCTTGATCTATGATTACAAAAAAGCTCACTTTTTCTCTTATCAATTTTTTTCTAATCATTAAAATATATTTTATTTTGAAGAAAAAAATCACTCAGTTTTAAGTTTAATGGTTAGTTTATTCCCCCCATCACTGACAATGCATAAATTTGTAGCAGAATTAGAATATTTCTGAAATCTCTTCTCATTAAGAGGTCAAAATTAAGAACTCTCATCATTTATAGTGTTGATAATATGTATGCATTTATGTATTATTATGTATTATTTTCATGTTTTTGCAATTGAACTGGTTCCTTTGTTTATTCTGGCAGTAGCAGCAGTTTACAGCAATAGCACTTATATTCTGCTCCATAGGGCTTTATATCACTCTCTAGCTAGTTTACAGAGTCAGCCTATTGCCCTCAACAATCTGGGTCCTCATTTTATGGATCTCAGAAGGATGAAAGGCTGAGTCAACCTTAAGCCAGTCAAGGATCAAACTCCTGGCAGTGGCAGGAATTAGCCTGCAGTACTGTATCACCACAGCTTATGTGCACACCTCTTAATGCCTAACATAAACCAGGAGAATGACTCCATAAGAAACCTCAACAACAATGCTTTGGTTTTGTATATACCTGTCTTTGGGGAATTGTAATAGAGAAATAACATAATTCCTTAATTTATAATAGCGATACCCATTTTAACAGCACACTTTACAAAGTCTGGGGATGTCAGGATGGAAATGATAAGTTTGGACACTACATGATTAAGTAGCATTTCAGTTTTGGATGAAATAAGTAATAATGCTACTAGTTTTACTGAGTTTTTGTCTTCATATTTTTATTTAGTTCCATTTGATTTTGATTACCTGAATGCTAGCAAATCAGCACTTTTTAAAATAAACATACTACCACTGAATATTTTAGAGAGATGAAGCATTCTTCCTTCCACACTGCTCTGTAGCTAGTTGAAAAGAAGTAAACTTTTCCTTGGGTGTATAAATTGGCTGCAGTTCTGATCTAAGACATGTGAAAAACTTGAGAAAGAAGCTACTTGGAAATAAACAGAAAAACCAGAAAAGCAACAACATTTAATGAGCAAAGATGTAGCAAGAATCGGACATAGCAATTAGATTAGTGACAATTAAAACCCTGTAGCGAGGGATAAATATCTTTATTCATTTTTTGTTACTCTGAACTGGGACAAATTAAGTAGTAGGCTGAGCATAATTGCTGCTTTTCTGCTTTGATCTCCTCCACTGGTAGATCTGGAATCTGTTTAGTTTTTTGAAAAGAGGGTGGGCTTTTTGACAATAAACAAAAAATTGCAGCATTTTTAATTGGTGCTTGAAATCTTGTCATGTTTCTACTGACACTTTGACTCTGGGCTTCTGGCTCCAGACATAACACAAAATTTTCTCTGTGCAAAAAATAACTCAATTTCTTTTAGTTTTGCTTTCTTGTATATGAGACTCCAAATAAAACCCAAGCATTGTTAAGTTTAACAAGAACGGCACCCACTGAACTGGATGCAGCCTGAGCTGATTCATTTTTAAGTAGCTCTTTGGAAAAATAGTTTGTAATCTTGTTGTTAGTCAAAACTGACTCATTTGTTTTTCTTTTTCTTTTTTACCATTGTAGTTCAGAACTCAGGATTGTTCACAACATGAACTAGTCAAACCTACATGATAATTTTAAGCAGGTGGGAAATCTGTGTGCCAGTTAGCACATCCAACGGAATCAAAACTCCAAGGCAGGCATATTCCTCAAAGCATAGATTTATTAGGCAAATTGGCACATCTGGGGAAAACCCAACTCTGAAGGACCCAAATCAAACCCCAAAATTCTTTC